AACACAAGACCTTAATCACAAGACAAAACTTTAACATGCTTTACGACATCAAAAACAATTCGGCCAAACTTCCAAGAGTCCACTCGCTTCTATAGAATAATATTGATGTGGACGAAACTCAAGGCCAGAGCTTTGATAGCCCAGAGGCCTGACCAAGCCAAGAGACCCAGAACAGAAAAGGAGGACCTAACATCAACAAAAAAAGTCTATAACCCAGCTGTCCAGGCCTAGTCCAAACCGTAGAGCGGTTAGGATAAGGAAAGTCTAGTCTAAGCAATTTTTGGATCGACAGAGGGGACCACAAATCCTGGGAATTTAGGGGACCACTCCTGACACCTACGGCAATCTCAGAGAAGGTGGAGCACTAGGCCGCCAGAGATTATGGCAACGACAGCGCCGGATGAACAGGGACGCCGGATGAACAACGGTCGTTGTGGCAGGAGAAGCAGGAGGGGCAGAAGAAATGCCAACTGAATGACCTAGGAGAGGCTAGTATAAATGGATAACGATAACTCAGGCAAGAGAAGAACTGGATCTCCCACGAAAAAAGATCAATGAGCACTAAAAAGCCAAAGAACGCAGAAAATTAAGAGAGAATACCTAGCCCTTTATCCTTTGTAAGTGGACCGCGAGTCCCCAAATTACAAGAGGCATTTTGCCAACCGATGAATATATAAATTCTGTGAATAAGAAGTTTTGTTGATAGTGAACGTAGCCTTAGTCCTTCGGATAAAGTGAACCACTTATATTCCTAGTCTAACTAATTTCAAATCTATGATTTGCAGAGCCATTTCTTAACACCGTCCCGTTATAATCGGGCTTGGGCCCTAAAATCTAAGCACCATCAAATATCATGACAATGTAGGTCTAAGTGGTCATCGTTGGAAACAATCACAAATACAGCCGATCTATATTTAAATAATAATATAAATGATGTGAGTGTTTATCATTGACTAATCACGGACCCAAATTCCTTCCAACCACATAATATAGTTTCTATTAACCCAACTCATATCACAAAGTTATAAATTTTAAAGTTTGAACAAATCAAAAAGATATATCAAAAACAAAATTCTTAGACGAAGTTGTAATGGTGAGTACGGGATTTGCTCCAACTAATCAGTCGGTGAAATAATTCAAATGCACTGCTCATCTTCTGTACTGCCCGCCCAATAACTCTTTTGATGATAGACACTACATAGGCTCACTATCTTTCTGGATGTTATATTAATTCTACACTACCTATTCACAGTCGCGGCATTTCAACGCTTGCTTGTTCAAATCTAATACTATGTTTTGCAAATTTACTCATCAATTAGGCTAATTTATATTAGTTGAACACTATTTTTTGTTCTAATACCACTTTCACAGTTCCACATATTTAAAATATATCTTCACACCTTACGTAAAAAAACAAATAAAAGACTCGAGGATGATTTAAATGAAAGATATTTGATATCATAATATCCAGAAACTATAGGTTCAAGATCCAATTGACCCAACAATGTGCATGATTTTGAGGTAGTATGAATATCGACAACTTGGACTAGCTAGAAATTTTTTACCAATTTTGAAAAAACAATTCAAGTGGCCCAAAGTTCTTACAAAGATTGATCTATTGATCTTTTCTCCTCATAAGTATTCAGAAAATTTCAGCTGATGGGAAGCTAATTTGGACTTATATGTTGATAAATTGTTTGCTGAATGTCAGCATGATCTTGTTTTAGAGTTAAAATTAATGTTCAAGGTAAGTTTCTATATTCGTGGATAATGTGTCTCTTACAAACCTGTCTTTTTACCCAAATCACTTTCAAATCACACAATAAGTTTTTTTTTTTTTTTTTGTTATTGGGTGTTTAGACTTGCATTGACCACTTTCTCGAACTTAAATTGATGGGGCTAGCTCAAATTATAAGTCCGGTCCGAGTTTATAGTTCATCTCCAAGAGATTCAACAAGTCCAGTCCAATGTAGTCAACCCGGACAAGTTCATCAAGAATCAATGAGCTTCATTAGCAGGGAGTATGCAAGGTCATTCAAGAGTCTCCTTCTTGCCACCTTGGAGTAAAGGTCATCCAAAAATCTCCTCTATCACCTTCGAGTAAGGGTCATTCAAGAGCCTCCTTCTCGCCACCTTGGAGTAAGGGTCATCCCAAGAACCTCATCCAATCCGCCCTAAAAGAAGTCAACTGTGACAACCATGATTCCGAGTGTCGGGTATTGTGAGTTGTGCCAAGCTGAGGAAGGTCTCTAACGTGTTTTAAGGTTATGACTATGGTGAGGAAAATTTTTTAAGAAAATATTTAGCAAAGATAGGCTATTCAAATTGCACAAATTGAAACGATTGAGATTATTGTGCTAATTCGATCACTAGAGGTTCGAGGCTCGGTGTGTGTAATTCAAATTGGTGTGTGCGGTTAGAGGTTCAGAGTACAGATAGGCGGACTGTAAATTGATGACTCTAGTGTGGTGTATAAATGTTTTGGAGATGGTTAGGAGGTCCGATAGGTGTAGGAATGTGGTTGGTGAAAAAGAAATGAGTTCGGAAGAATAAATGGATGAAATAAAATTAGTGCCTATCGTTAAATTAAAAATGCGGGAATTGCATTAGTGGATCAAATTGAAGATCAATTCAATGTACAAAAATTTAACAGATAATTTTATAATGCTTGATTTAATATATATATATATATAATTGTGAAAAAAAATATTATTTTTAATTAATTTTCAAAATTAGACAAAATTGAGAATTTACCAATATATCATTGAAGCTTTAAGGGTCTTCTACACTTGCAAGGTGGCTGATGGAGGCTTGCCAAACTGTATGGAGGACACCCAACTGCTTGGAGGGAATAAAATGGAGAAGGATTTGGTGGGAAGAGAGAGAGGAGAAAGAGAAGTTAGAGAGAGAAAGTATAGGCTGTGCATTTTCGAATTCTTGCAAAGACTACTTCGAGCATTAAGAGGTATACTCACAGCCTAATATAGATGTTAAGAACTCATATATGTAATTAGATTTTGATTTGGTTTAGTATTAATGCATGAATTTGTGTTTTAAAATTTAGTGAATTTTTGAATTTTGAAATGAGTTTGAGATTTGAGCTTGATTTGAGTTAATTGTTTGGTATGACTGAGTTTGGGGAGTTTTGAAGAGTTGTTTAGTGGTGGTGTGGTGGTGTAATGGTGGTGTGAGGGTTTAAAAAAGTGAAAATGTGATTGTGTTAAAAACTTGTTTAAGTTTCGAAAGAAGGCTTTGATCTAGTTAATTTGGGGTAAAGAAATTCATTTTCGATCTCAGAATTGGATTTAGAAGTCGTTTTAGGGGTGAAATGGGCAGGGATATACTTTCAAGGATAGAAAGTAAGAATGATACATTTTTCCTTTCTTTGTGTTTGGTTGGATAGATGGAAAATAAAAATGACTAATTTTTTTTTATAATTTTTTTTTGCGCTGGCTAAGTTTAAGGTTGACAATCAAGTCGTGTCGTGTCAGATCCTTATTGAGTCATAAAATTATGAGTTTTTTATATTTTTTGTTCATATGTCAGTTCATTTTCAAGTTCGTGTCGAATTCGAGTCATGTTATCGTATTAAGTCGAAAATTTTCACTTCTAGTTAAGATAAAAAAATAATAATAATTTAATTTAATTTTTTTTTTGTATTTCTAAAATTATTATATACATATACATATTTTATCATTGTATTTTTATGTAAAATTAATATATACATAATATATCAACAAATAAGACATCTCAACACAAATAATTAACTTTTCATTCATTTTCCTTCCGATTTTGAAGGGATTGATTTTGATTAGTTGAAAAGAAAGTGAATTCATCCACTTTTTCATCCCTCCTATTTTATTTTTTTACCAAACATGATATTTTATTTATCCCTTCAGCTTTCCACCCTTTCAACTTTTGTTTGTTTCATTTTTTGATCTTTTCATTTTTCCATCATATCAAACTGGACATTAATATCGGGTAGGTATACCAAATTACCCTTTTATGCTTCTTTTCGACCCAGGTATTCTCAAGTAAAAAAGCCTACCTTATATAAAAAAAAAAAAAAATGGCAGTGGATTCTAGCGAATTCATTATCCTACCTAGCATGGTTAATCTATGAAAATGCTCCACAAAAAAATTACTTTAAATCAAAAGGGCAGCTCAAGCGAAAATAAGGATAATTTGTAAATTCATCATTTTGCATAGTGGCAGAACTATGTTATGGCCCCCCCTCAACTTTTTGAAATTATATATTACACCCTTAAAATTATATTTTGGTCACATTTTATATATCACTCAAATTCTTAAAATTAAAATTTATACATTAAATTATAATCTTTATTTTATTTTATCATCTTAAAAAGAGATTAGACCACACTGAACTATTTATTAACTATTTAAATTGTGTCAATTTGCATAAATCTGTAAATTTTAATATTGGATAAATTTGTAAATTTTAGACTATTTTGAATTACTAATTGTGTAATTGATTCAATTTTTACATCTAATAATTCAACTAGTTTCGATTAAGTTATTCATTTTATTGAAAGTTAAAATTATATTATATCGTATAAGATTGATTCGTATATATTCTATGCATATAAATATCAGACATTAATGGTCTAATTAAATGATCCACATTAAATAAAAATATCATGTTATACCACTACTTGGCCCCCCTCAAGAGGAAATCTTAGCTCCGTCCCTGATCCTGAGTTCGAATATTGTCAAGCACTAAGATTATCACTTATAAATATTTTAATTTCGGTGGAGATAGTATGTTTTTAATGGGATTGAAAAAAAAATTAGTCGAAATACACATAAATTGGTCCAGATTTTGAAGGTGGGTGTTAAGACCCTTGCTGCAATTTTCTGCACTAATTCCAATCCGATAATTAATCGGTGCAAGACTTAATACAAGATATAGGCATTTAAAAGAAAACCCAAAAAAAAGGTTTGAAATCAATTTTTTTTTTTTTTTTGGGTGTTTCTTATAGTTACCGGTGGCAGACCATCTCGGTGCCAATTCTGGCTGCATCAAAGGGCACCAATTGGCCCTGAGCCATCACAATTGATTTGTAGATCTGAATGATCATCCTCTCATCCCCAACAATCCCACCACCACCACCACCACCATTGATCACTCTGGAATTAGCAAACCTCAGCATCGTGTTCACGTAAGCGTCCCTCAGGCCACAGAAGAACTTCTTGGGCGAAAATCGGAGCTTCAGCTTCAGCTTCAGCTTTAACTTCAGCTTGGGAGTAACCTTTATCCTCAAGAACCGCCTTCTCCGGTTCGAACCGGCCGCACCTAACGCCAACCGAGTAGTCTTCCGTCTCCGACCAGTCCCACTGAGCCGCTCATAGCCTCTGATCCTCCAATACCCGGTAATCTTCTGGATACACTTACTGGCACGCCTTCCATTCCTTCTTTCCACACAGAAACACACAATTGATAAATATAGCTCGAGACAGTTATATAAATGCATGCATCAACATGTATTGTTTATATTCGTATTGATTGAGAGAGAGAGACCGGTGGGAGTTTGGGAATTGGCGGTTGATGATGGGGTAGTGTAGTGGTTATATAATGGGAGAGAGGAGAGGGTGTTGTGTTTTTGTGGGGGGGGGGGGGGGTAAAATCATAAATGTGGGGCTAACTTCGCACCTATATTTTTCACGAGTAGCAGTGTACATTAATGAATGCAATGCCGTTTTGATTATTCTTACTTGGACTTATAAGGTCGTTTAAGTCCATTCTCTTTCTCATTCAGTGTAATATGAACGGAACTAACTGGCTTTTGAGTTCGACGTTGTCTAGTGTAAGTTTTTCCACGGGCATCATAGGCGAGTCGGATTTGAATTGAAGGTTATGCTAAAAAAATAGATCAGATGGTGCGGCTTTGTCAAACTTTCATGCCGGCTCTGTTTGGTTAAAAAAAAATAACGTTTATTTAGTTAGCATGAAATATTTGTAAAAATTAATTTATCGTTTGAAAGAAATAAAAATTACAAGAAAAAAAAAATTCTAACTATCTAAATTATCCTTAACAATATTAAATCCATCCAAAGAAGAAAAATATAAATTATAGTTAAAAGTTAAATTTTTTAAAAAAAAATTGGCTTGTAATCTAATTTTAAGACAAACACTAGCACATAGGTCTATGGGCTGAATTATATAATTAATTAAATTCATATCAATATTTTTTAAAATTAATAACTAATAAAATATTTTAATAAAAACAATAGAAAAATGGAAAATTGGTTATAAATTACAATTTTTCTTATTTTCTTTTACAAGAAAAAAATTTGGTTAATTGTAAAAAAATTTAATCATAAAATAAAATTATTTTTTTTATTATTTTTTATTTCATACTAAACAAATAGATGAAAATTTTAAAAACTTTTACTTTTTTAAATTTTATATTATTATCTCACAAAACAAATGGATATAGTATAATTTTAATAATTAAATATTAATAAGATTCACTTATTTAATGATAAAAATTATGTCACATTATTTAATATAAAGATCCAATAAAAATATTTCCTAAACATAACATTGCTTTTTTTTTTTCCGACAAGCACAACTACCACTTTGGAAAAGGTGATAGAATTTTATCAATTCCAATGCAAATATAATTTTGATCCAACAAAAAAAAGCAAATATAGAGATAATCCATACTGAAAGTACTGTAATACGAATAATTTTAAGAAGGGTTAATCCCATTTTGTACTCTGAAAGATCGTTCGAATCTTAATTTACACCTCTAAAGATTAAAAATCTCAATTTGTACCCTCAAAGATAAAAAATTATATCAATATACACCCCCAAAGATCAAAAATCTCAATTTCCACCCTCAAAGATAGAAATTTGTATCAATGTATACCCCCAAAAATAAAAAATCTCAATTTTCACCCTCAAAGATAGAAATCGGTATTAATGTACACCTAAAACTAAATTGATAAATTATACCTAGATCCCCTCATGTTTGTCACTTAATCATTTGAACCCCTTCACATTTAGAATATTACCCTTACATCTCATGACGTTTATACATGTGTAAACATAACCACTTTTCGTTGATATCTATTAATATAATCGTTAAAAAATATAATTTTATCCTAAAAAAAATTATAATTTCATATTACCCTTTATTTTGTGGATTCAATATATTCTAAAGTTCAAAATCAAGCTTACCATTTGAATGTCTAATAGAATGTAGATATTTATAAAAAGGAAAATATGAAAAACATTATATAAATATTTACATTTTATTAGACATTCAAATGGTAAGCTTGATTTTGAACTTTAGAGTATATTGGACCCATAAAATAAGGGTAATATGAAATTATAATTTTTTATTAGGATAAAATTATATTTTTTAACGTTTATATTAACAGATATCAATGAAAATGGGTTATATGTTGTACGTGCATAAATGTCATGAGATGTAGGAGTAATATTCTAAATATAAAGAGGTCCAAATGATTAAATGACAAACATGAGAGGATGTAGGTATAATTTATCAATTTAGTTTTAGGTGCATAATGATACAAATTTTTATATTTGAGAGTGCAAATTGAGATTTTTTATCTTTGCGGTGCACATTGATATAAATTTATATCTTTGAGGGTGCAAATTGAGATTTTTTATCTTTGGGGGTGCACATTGATTCAAATTTCTATCTTTGAGGGCACAAATTGAGATTTTTGCTCTTTGGGGGTGCACATTGATACAAATTTCTATCTTTGAGGGTGCAAATTGAGATTCAAACTATCTTTCGAGGTGTAAAATGAAATTAACCTTTTTAAGAAAGATATCGATGATCATTGAATAAATGTATTTTAGATTGTATAATAAATTTATTAAAAAAAATTATTTTATATTATAGATAAAAAAACTTTAATATATCTTGTGGTGTACGTTAGCGGGTGCGAAGTACGGCTCCACTTTAGGAGCAGAGAATATGTCAAATGACTGATTTGACACATTCCGTCCCAGAATTCGTGTATTTGTAATTTTGTCTGTTAATGAAACAATTTCGTCTGTGGCGGATATGAGTAACTTAGGTACACTGGTTTAGCAAGATAATTGCAAAAAATATAATAATAAAAATTTAAAATTTTTTTATATGTTTGATTTGAATAAAATAAAAAAAAATAAAAATATTTCATACTTAAATTTTCTCAAAACTAACAAACTTTTTTTCTTGTAAACAACATAAGAAAATTGTAATGTATAACTATTTTTTTATTTTATCCTTATTTTTTTTAAAATATTTTATCAATTATTCATTTAAAAAACATTGGTATGAATTTGATTAACTATATAATTTAACCCAAAAAAACTTGGTGCAAATGCTTATCCCAAAATTAAGTTAAGAACCACTTTTTTTAAAATTTGTAACTTTTAACTATAATACATATTTTTTTCCTTTTAAAATTGATTTAATATAATTAATAGTAATTTAGACAATTAAAAAAAATTCTTATAACTTTCCCTTTTTTTTTTATGTATAAAATAGATATACAAATATATCACTCTACATATCTAGCAGTAAACATTGTTCTTCAGCACCACACAACTATTTACAAAAGATTTCATCATACTTACATCGGGACCAAAGATCAGATCCCGCTGTATGCTCTAAGCGTTGAAAAATATGTTTAGTCCCAATAAGCTACTGTAACTATAAAAATTCAAACTTAAGTATTGAAGAAATTCAAATTCTTACCCACCGAGTCAACATCTCATTAGTAATTTTCCTTTCTTTCAAACAATAAAATAAAAAAAATTTAAAATATTCTCGCAAATTTTTCATTCTAACTAAATATATGTATAAAAATATATTTTCTTTCAATTTTAAATTTCTATCATTTTCAGTTCTAGGATTATTTTTCTTAGAAAATCTCCTTAACTTTGTACAGCCAATAAACTCACCCCTTCAGTCCGTTCTTTTCTCTTTTTGGGCTCAGGTGGCTAATATCGGTGGTGGTAATGTCTCGGACCCTGGGTCTGACCCAAAACGCTAATAAAAATAGTTAAACTTAGTTCTAGAAAGACTTTACCACAAAAAAAAAGAAAAAAGAAACGAGTCTAAAAATACAAGCGAAAGTTTATTAGACTCCCACTAAGATGACACCACAACACTTTCAACTTCAATTTTCTTCGTAATATCAATTAATTGTGTTATATAAGTTTAAAATTCGTAATTTTTTCAATTCATGGTACATAGTAAATATTAGTTAAACCAAGATTTTTAATATAAAAAAAATGTTTGTGAAATATGTTTTCTATATATATAATCTTTAAAATAAAAAAAAAAGTAAATTTATATGAAAAATCGATATTATGAGTAAAATCATTAAAAAAATTAACCAGTAGATGCAATTGAAAATTTCAAACATTTGACAAATGAGTTAACACATTATTTGAAGACAAATTGTATCCATAGAAGCTCATGCTATTGATAGATTTTAAAAATCAAGCGTAAATTTTAAAAAATATTAAATGTTAGAGGAATCTATTGTAACATTTTCAAATGTGTGTCACCAGTGCAATAGGCTTTGAATGCAAATTACTAATTGACATCGTAGTGAATGATACTGCCCAAAATTCCCACCAAAGATACTTCCCACACACGGACAAAACCAAACTGTTTCATTTTTTTAATAAACAAAAAAAAAGTTAAACAGAATAATATAACAGCAAAAAAAAACAAACTATTAAAAATGAATGGATTTAATAAAATAATTCAATCTAATACAATACAAATAAATAAAAGACAAAATTAAAATAAAATATTATAATAATATCTAATTTTATCTAATATTTGCTTACTGGGCTAATTTTATCCAGAATATTTAATGAATGAAAAAAATACATCAATCTTAATATCTAAATTTCTAAAACTTAAAATTCTGACATTAGAAGATTTATTTCCATATTTTAATCTCTCGCTTTAGTGGCATACCAATCTTGAAGACACATAAGGGCTTCCACTGTCTTTCCATCCAAGCAACTCCTATGCTCATTAATGACACGTCCACCTATACTAAAAACAAATTCGGATGCTACAGTCGATATAAGAACTGTTAGTATATCACAAGCCATGGTGAAAAGAATTGAAAATCTACTTTCATATCATTTCCACCATGCCAAAATATTAAAATCAGGATCTTCAATACTTACCATTGAAGCATTGTAATATTACTGAATTTTAGTTAACCCCAAGATGTTGACATACCTCCTTTGTTCAAAATTGAAACTAGCATAAATATTTTACTTTTACTATTACCAACAATATCACTAGAAGCTGAGGGGGGATTAAATGTACCACTATTCTCAAATGTTACACTATATTCCTTAAAAAAATTTCGAAATAATATTTATTTCATTCATGTGGTTCATGTCCAACTGTCGTTTTATAAATTCACTGTGTTAAAAAAAAAAACAGGATTGAAAACGTAAGATATATTGACATTTTTAAAAATTACCTGTGTTTGGAAATATTTTCAAACCCGCCATGTTTTGAAATTTTTTTTTTAAAAAACACGTGAGTTGGGTCAAAAGCTCATCACTTTTAACACAAAAAAAAAGATTATCTATATCCTATCTCAGATACAACCCTTTACAAGTTGAACTAATGTTCTCAAACAGGAGGAATCCTTCATTCCTTCTGCTTAATAGAAATTTGGAAGACTTTTCATACTCTGATTTTTGCGCACCGAGCAAACTCAGATCATCGTAGTATGTAGGCAATATGAGCAATCAAAATGCAAAGAACTCGAAGTTCTTTCTGTGAAACTAAAATCATCTATTACATGCAGATGTTATAGCTTAAAAGCAAAGCATAATATCCAGCGCAACAGAGCACACCTTCAAGTTTAAAAACATATCCATAAACATAAACAAAGCCTAATTCCACTGTACTCCCTATTTTCCATAAGAAACTACCCTGATTTTACTGACCTCGAGTCATCAACTCCTACTTCTTAACCTTCTTCGGCGCTGGCCTTGAAGATTTAACCGACTTTGGGACTGGCTTCCTCTTCATGGGTGTCGAAGCCTTCTTCGTACCCACAGGACTCTTCACGTCCTTTTTGGCCTTAGTAGCACTTGATTTCTTCTTCTTCAAAGCATCAGGAGTTTTAACCTGGCTCAACCTTTTTGTCTTCAACTCCTGTTTTGCAGGCTTTTTAGGGACAGTACCCCCTGTAGTAGAAACCTTCTTTCCATCTTTCTTTTTCTGGGTTTCTTTGGCAGAAACAGAAACCACTTTCACCATCTCGGAAGTAGAGACCTTGTAGGAGTTCTTGACCTTAACTAATTTCTCAGATTTCACGAACTTCTTCAACTGAACAGACAACATCTTCTTGAAATTCGGAGGAAGCTGCTTCGGGTACTTCTCTTCAACGAATTTGGCAATAGCCGGCTGGCTCGAACCGGTCCGATCCTTCAACGATGTTATGGCTTCGGTTATCATCTGAAAATAAACGTGAACTGGAATTAATAAAACATAAACATGACAAAATTAGACAATTGACAAAGATGAAAAGAACAGAGCACCTGAAAGTAAGGTGGATGGAGGGTTGCTGAAGATGCATTACTTGGCTTTTTGGTGACCTTCTTTGCAAGAGCCATGGATGCGTCAGCCTTCAGCGAACTGATGAAAGAATTCTCGTAATTGAAATGGCGGAGAGAGATTGAGAGGGAAAATGGAATGGATAGTGTGCGGGACACTGTTTATAAAGGAGTTTGAAGTCTTAAAATTGAAATTTGAAAGCACTTTTTTGGCGGAATGAGTTTTTTTGTTTGCGGGGTCTTTTCTTGGTTACATGGAGCTTATTCATTGGTGAATTTAATTGGTGGAGGATCGTCACACGTGGGTCCAGATGTGACCGTCCTTGTCAGTTGGCGTTAAATCATCCAACGGCTGCTGCTTTCTACGGGTGCGAATAGGATCGTGGGTTCGTGGACCATACCGAGAGATGCATTCGGACACTTACGACCACATGTATATATGGAGAGCACAAGTTTTGGACCCATGGATGCAAAACGAGCCAGGCCCAATAATCAGACGATTCACTTTTTTGGGTCCATTAAGAACATCTCTAACAATTGAAATTAGTTTAACTATTTAAAAAATAATATTTTCTATTTTAGTTACTTGTTTTTTCAATACACATTTCAACAAATTTTTTATATTTTTTACTTCTTCCTTTTATTATTATTTATCGTTCCTTTTGTATTATTTTTTTTTGAAAATAGCGAAATAGAGAGAGAGAGAGAGAATGGAGAAAAAGAATGGAGATAAAATATTATAAAAAATGTACACATATTGTTACAGGCATACTCAAAATATAAAATATCACTGTAACAAAATGCTATTTTACATGTTTTGGAGATATTCTATAGGAGTGAAATTTTAGGACAAAATAACTAAATTTTGAAATTTTTGAGTCCTTTACCTACTCTCTTAGAGATGCTTTAATTAATTAATCCTCCACATTCGATTTTTTTTTTTTTAAGAAAAGCGTTTAATTAAAAAACAATGATTTGTACAAAAACGTGCCACAAAAAAAAATGAAATTCATAATCTCAAGACATTTTAAAAACGATATGACCTTTGAATATGACAAATAATCGAGTTTAACTTGTTAAGCCTTTTTTTTTTAAATAAGTTAAAAAAATTATTAAAATTTGTCTTATTTATAAAATGAGTCAAGTCTAAATCGAGTTTAAAATGAACTGAATCTAAATAGTTTGATTATTTTATGTATAAATAAACTATATTTTGTGAATTTAAATTAATTTTTGCTAATTCTAGTCAACTCTTTTAAATTCATGGTCTAAACTAACTTATTCGACAGGCAAAAGACGGCGCTTTTTAGGCCAATTTTGATCAAGAATGGGTAATGATCTTTTTTGAGTCAGGGGTGGTGCTCGACTAGCATATTAAAAAGATGGACAGTCATTTGCTGTTTTCGAAAACTCTATCTGGTGTTGACCAGATAGCTAAAGTCTACTTAGTTTACCTTATTTAAAATATAAGCCAAATTCGAACTTAAATTAAGTCGTATTCGAACTATGTTTAAATAATTTGACTTAATTATCAACTCTATTTTTAAGCCCTTTACCTCTAAACCATCACTAATAGACTTTTAATTTAATAATACTCTATCTTTTTTATGTCAAAAATTCAAACTACTTTCCCCTTCTCCCCCTCTATCCCCAAAAAACAAAAACAAAAAAAAAAAGTGTAAAGAGTAATGTTATGCTTATCAAATTTTAGAACTAAAATTAGAATTCAATGATATAGTAACATATTATTTAGAATTTTTATTGAAACCCAAATGACATTATATATAATAAATAAGCACATATCAGCTGTCATGTCATTTAAACTCCAGATTTAATCTCAAAATTTAATCAGTGCAACATTACTGGTAAAGATAAGATGTAATACTATAATTGTGAAGGATAAATAAACATAAAAAAAAAACACTCACGTAAAGCTTTCATATTACACCGTTAATGATCACACATGACATTCTTCCCAATCTAGAAGAGGAAAAAAAAAAAAAGGGCAATTAAAAAACTTACTTGGCACTTGCATACATTTTTTTGGGTAAGTAACTTCCATATATGCATAATAATCTTTCAAAAAGAAAAAAAGATTTACAGGACACGGAATCACCATTTCTCACCACGAAGCAATCTCAGAACTCTGCCGTGTGGAGAATCGGGATCACCCCTCATTACGTTCTGTCTCCATATCCCAACAGCTCTCCTAAGCGCCTCCTCAGCCGTATCAAGCTGCTCCGGCCTCCATCGAATCACACCTCCTCCAGCTTCCCCAATCCCATAGCTTTCCACAGTTCCATCAGTAGCCCTTGTAATCGGCTTCCTGGTATCGACAACCTCCACCGCAGACAAAGGCGACGCCTTATGGTGCTTGAAATATTCTTTATCGTCTTCTTCTTGTTTCCTTATGTCCTCTGGCCATGGCGTGCCGTCCAAACCTGCGCAACTTATATCTTCGACTGGCGTTGTAGTTGCACCGGTGGAATTCCAGTGTGCTTGGTGCGTGTTGGTGGGGTGTGCAGTACCTGTACTACGAAAGGGTGAGACAAAGGTAGAGGCAAGCCTTCTTGGCCGAAATTGTTCCAACAACAGTTGATTAAACCTTGTTGTGGTGCAAGCTAATCTGTACTGCATCGTTTTTGCGCTTTCTCCTCTATCGTATATTGATTCCGTGAACTTCAGATTCTTTGCTGGTGTTGTCGGAAACGAAGCAAACTGCAGGCATTTATGGAGGAGGAATGAGGCCGTTGAGCTTATGTTGAAAGCAGACTTTGCAGTTGTTTCTAGAGCTTGCTAGACTTTCCTTTTGTGTGAATTGTGATGTCATGTGTGTGACTGGAGTCGTCTAGAAGAATGACGAGTGTGTTAGACTTAAGGGTGTGTTTGTTTGTGAGATTGTTATTTATGGATTGACTATTGCATTTCATATATTTTTAATGAAAAATATTATTTAGACTTTATTTGGAGAACTTATTTATAGACTTAATGATATACAACTATTAGATTGGTTATAGACTCTGTCTAATATTGAAACTCACAATTAATTCAATAATTGTATTAAAATCACATCATTAAATTCCTAAAAAAAATCCTCAAATAAAGTTTTTATATCATTTCTCATTTTAATAAACAAGAAAGTTAATATCGGTAATAAAAATAAATGCAATCATATTAAATGTTTATTTGAACAATATGTTTTATTATAAGACTCACAAAAAAAAAATCTATTCTGTCACATTTAATATAACAAATAGACTTATTTATCCCTAATACCATCTTAGGGATATATGAAAAGAGGTTTTATAGTTATTTAGCTCCCTTATACCGTCGGTGCCTCTTCTCCCATATGGTATTAAATATATCCACGTAAATGAGTATAGCACTACTGTTTATACTAGGTCAGTATTAAGATCCAAAAATTAATACTTGACTAAAAATAATTAACAAACAAAATATATGTGATATTCATGCACTGATAAACACTATTCCACCTCTTTATATCCCACTTTATCTCCAAACAAACATACTCCAAGTATATAACATAGGACTAAAGACATCTAGCCATCCTTCGAGTATCTAGACTTGAATCTGACTTATCCCTAAGCAAACACACTCGAGTATATAACATAGGACAAAAGACATCAAGTCATCCTTCAAGTATCTGGACTTGAATCTGATTTCATTGATTATACCACACGGTTAGAATTAAGTCAGGATAGCATCCGAGTGAAATTCAATCCAATACATATTTCTTTTAGGGGGTATTTGGATACTCACGAGAGGATTGAATTAGATTAAATTTGAGTCCAAACCTAATCTAATATGATGCAAAGAAATCCGAGTTGATTCAATCCTAATGAATAGAATCTCATCTTATTTTATTTTTGGATGAAAAACATTTGTTTTGCAGCCCCATTCACAAGTGTAGATGAAAGATGGTAAAATAATTATTGCACCTTTGGTAAAAAATTTAATCCATTTCTATACTAACTTTAAATTGATATAATGTCAATCCAAAATGAGAATGATTAGGTACTTAGATTTGAATAAAATTTTGATTTAATAAATTATGTTTTTTAACAACACAAAGCCAAAAAATTATTTATAAATTTTTTAATTGAATTTTATACAACCCAATTTATCACAAAAAACATATGAATTGTCCAATCACAAAGTACAAACTATGAAGACCTAGTTCACCTTTGTCTATTTTGTAATAGGGCAGGCTATCGACATGTCAAAATTTGGTACAGTACTGAAAAATATATGTGGTTCTTAATTTTTGTCATTAAATATTAAAAAGTTACTCATTAAAAGTGTGATAACTTTGTCAATAAAAGTTGTATAATTTTTTTTTGAACTGGTCCAGATCATATATTTAGTTACATTAAATTGACATGTAATTTTATGAAATTAATTTTTAATTTTATTCAATTAACACTTAATTTATCAAAAATAACATTAAATTGACCTTCAATTGTATTAAATTAACATTCAAAATTATAAATTTAAAATTCATAAAATTAAAATTAATTCATAAAATGTTAATTAATTTATGAAATTACATGCCAATTTAATGTAATTAAACATAGGATCGAGACCAGTTCAAAAAAAAAAAGTTTCGACTAGTCGTGATTGATCCTATTTAATTGGAACCACTAGAAATTTAGTTTCGTCCCAATTTTTGGACTATCAAATGCATTAAGATCGATCTCATATAGTCATGATCGATCTTAATTGAGTAGAATCGCAAAAAAAAAATAATAATAATAATAATTTGGCATTGAAATCAATCTTAATTAATCATGTTTGGTCCTAATTGAGTGGAAAAAAAATTGGCATTGTGATCGATCTTAATTAATCATAATCGATCATGACTATTAAATATAATGTTATTACGTTCAAAGACAAAGTTTTTACTCTTGAGATAAAGTTATCATCTTTAAAGGTGAGGTACAAATTCTTTAAATAAGATTACAATAATTAAAAGTAAAATTACAATCTTTAAAAGTGAGGTTATAATTATTTATGATAAAATTACTACATTTTGATAAGAGGTTATAAGTTATAATTAGTAAAAATAAAAGTACCACAAAAAAACGATGGCCGAGGTTACAACCTTTAGAAAAAATGGTATAATTTTTATTGGCAAAGTTATCACACCTTTAATGAGTAACTTTTTAATATTTAATGGCAAAAATTGAGGACCACATTTTTTTTTGGGTACCGTAGCGAATTTTGACCGGTCGGTACCATAGCCTTCCCCGCAATGTAATATTCGGTGCAAATACTGCTTTCCTCATATCCCCATCATACTTGTGGTTCATACCTATATACTTCACAATAGTGTATCACTATGATCAATTATTTTGAGATACAAAGGTTGATCATTTATTTTAAAAGTAGATTCATTTTATGTAAAGCAAAATAATTTTAAATAAACAACAAAGAAAACAAAAGACGCACATTGAGCAGCAAAAGCTTCCTCTGTTTCAAGTAAAACATTTGAACTAACACATAAAATATACTGATTCAATAACACAAAATCATTCAGTACAAATTGAGGGGTTTTGGGAAGGGAAAATGGATGGTTTGGGGGGATTTGGGTTTGGTGGTTGCGTGTGTGTGCATTTAACAGAGATAGAGGAGAGAGAAAGTGAGAGAAAAAAAGGGGCTTGCTGGTGTTGGAGGTGGTGTCGTTCGCGGTGGCAGTGGGGTGACAGATATAAAATGGATGGGGCGCTGGTGTTGTTTGGTTGCTATTGTTGGTGGTACTTGGTTGAGATATATATACACAACAGAGATAGAGAGAGAGAGAGAGAGACAGAGACAGAGACAGAGACAAGAATAAATATATATATATATACACACACATACAAAGAGAGAGAGAGAGAGAGATAAAATCTTAATGTATAGGGCATTAATGTAATTACAAGCTTAATCCTGTCAATGGGCTTACTTTAGCTGGGTCAGAGGGGACAAGTGGCCTAAAAGACTACGAGCCGAAATATTAAGCCCAACGTTTATCTTATTCATTAAATGGGATCCAAAGCTGGGTTTTGTGAAGTCCGGATATTTTTACCCAATCCAACATGTGCTATCCCACTTTATCCACCCAAACAAACAACCCCTTGTAGGTAATTCACTTACCATAAACTCAAATAAACTCATTATTTATAAGTAAATTCCTCATTAATATAAGATGAGTGATTGATAAGAGAAAAAAATATGTATTAAAGGAGATCTTGATCCGCATCCGAAATTAAGATTTGAGTTAGAACTATTGCTTGTGCTACATCGTCAGGACATGAGTTGGGTTAGCCATGATTAAAGAAGTAAAATGGGTTTGTCCATGTGTGTCAGGAGCACATCATCTTACCCAAAATAATCAATTAGAATCAATAGGGGCATGGTTATAATCCAGTTTTAAACTTGCAATGGCACATTGAGTTACTTGAGTCAGCTAAGCGTTTCACCCAAACTACAAACGCCAAATGTTAGTCTACTAGTGCACTAAACAAATTATTTACCCGACTACAAGTGCCATTTAATCTCCACCTTCACAGTTTCAGTTTATCCCTCTGGCCAAGCTTGTTGAAAAAGTGAGCAAGGAAAGCAAAGAAAGCACCCAAGCAGCACATAAAAAAAGACAACACAAGCACAGCCCAGTCCCAAATCCTTCTCTTTGGAAGATGACTCCTGTCAGACATGAGCAATGCCCTGTAAACCGCTTCAGTTAGAGCATAAGCTGAAATGGGATCGAATTCCTCTGCAAGGAGTCCATACTCTGTAATGCAAACAATGTCATAAACTCCAGTAGTCTCCATTATACCCAGATATTCACAAATTTTCAACCGCCCATCGATTCGGTCCTCCATTGATAACTTGTCACCATGAGTCAGTATCAAGATAGGGTCCTCATCTGCATCCACAATGATCACACATGAGTATTATCGAACATTATTATCTAGTTCTAATGATTGACTAACTTCGGTTTGATTTTGGATTAATCAAGTCTAGTTAAATTACACTAGAGATCAACTGTCAATAGCAGAGCAAACGGAAGCTGAGCCTGGCAGTATGTGTTAGATCGTCTGACCCTAACTCAACCTATTTATTAAAAATGTATTCCTAGGATTGACATGCATAACTCATGGATCAAAGATCCAAATCCCTTTCTCTTTCAATTAAACTAAACACTCGAAGGCTTTTCACAAACCCAATATTCTCTTGGCCCACAAACCACTCATAAGCTACTATACAGAATAATCGAACAAGTTTTTCTTCATATTATAATATCAGCAGCCAAGTTATTTTCGTAATTAATTATAACCCGCCAATTGATTGATATATCTCTCGAAACAAAGAGAAAAGGAAATGAAAGATATAGAAAATTGTCCCTCCTAATAACAGGCAACAACTTAGAAGGGGCAAGTTGCAATTGATGAGAGTCTAATGAAGAACAACTTACTGCGTTTCCGCAATGCCGGTGAACAGAAGAGCTGTCTCAAGGCCTCCAGTGGATTGCTGTCACTTGCTTTTAGAGCTTTATAGATCTCTGCAACATTCGCCACCACCATAACATAATTCACCCTTCGATTTGCAAACTGCGAAGAAGATCTTAAGAAATTAATCCCCAATTCATCTTTACTCGATGACAAACGGTCCCCTGATCTCAAGCAGAGCTGGTTATGGTGAACTCCATCAGTTATCCATTCTGACAACTCTTCAAGACTCTCATCAACTCGATCATACTCAAACCCCCTCGTGTCGTACACACAAAATCCACTTCGCATCGACCTCAACACATTGTGCTCCTCCAAAAATAAAGTCTTCTGATTAGCAGCATTCTCTAGAGATGATTGATTAGAGAAGACCAAAAATGTCATTGGTTCTTGTTGCAAGAATAATTCTCATAAGCTTGAAAAATGCCTTACCAACCTCGCCCATTTTCCAAAAAATAAAATTACACTTTAACCCCCTAAACTATGTTCCTCATTGCATACTGCTCCTTGAACTATCCAATTTCTTATATTGAAACTTAAACTATTGGTTTGATTTCGCATTAATAATTTTATGTCCAATGTTTTCATGACAAATCAAACATTGAACAGAAGTTATCACTTGGGACAATGTAAAACTCAAACTGGAGTT